TGGATAATAGAATAAATAAAATGTGAAAAAAAAAAAAAACTTCCTAGAAGCAAATGAGAACGAAATGTATGAAAATCTTTGGGACACAGCAAAAGCAGTACTCAGAGGTCTATTGATAGCAATAAACGCACACATCAGAAAAGAATAAATATTAATACCTTAAGCTAACAGCTCCAACAATTAGAAAAGGAGCAACAAAAGAAACCTACAGTCTCCAGAAGAAAGAAAATAATAAAAATCAGAGCAAAAATAAATAAAGCAGAAAACAAAAAAACAGCACAGAAAAATATCAACAAGACTAGAAGCTGGTTCTTCAAAAAGATGAACAAAATTGACAAACCACTGTCAAATTTAACTAAGGAAAAGAAAGAGAAGATATGAATAACACACATAAATGAAATGGGCAACACCACAACAGAACCAACTAAAATAAAAAGGATAGTAACAGAACACTATGAAGAACTGTGCCTCCACAAATTCAAAAACAAAGAAGAAATGGACAAATTTCTAGAAACACAAGACTTACCTAAACTAACATAGTCTGAGATAGAAAATTTGAACAGCTCCATAAAAAAAGAAGAAATTGAGCAGGTCATTAAAAAAACTACCCACAAAAACAATTCCTGGCACAGATGGCTTCACTGGAGAAATCTATGAAACGTTCAGAAGAAGAGCTGACATTTATCCTACTCAGACTATTCCAGAACATAGAAAAGGACAGAATATTCCCAAATTCATCCTATGAAGCAAGCATAACTGTGATAACAAAACCAGATAAAGACACCACTAAAAAGGAAAACTATAGACCAATATCCCTCATGAATATAGATGTAAAAATCTACAACAAGATCCTAGCCAACAGAATCCAACACCACATAAAAAAAATAACACACCATGACCAAATGGGATTTATACCAGGTATTCAAAGATGGTTCAACATCAGAAAAACAATCACTCTAATCCATCACATAAATAAAATAAAGGAAAAGAACCACATAATCATATCAATAGAAGCAGAAAAGGCATTTGATAATATCCACAAGCCATTCATGATAAAAACTCTCAGCAAACTAGGAACAGAAGGAAAATTTCTCAACATAATAAAGGGAATATATACAAAACAAATAGCCAACATTATTCTCAATGGAGAGAGACTCAAAGCATTTCCCTTGCAAAAAAGAGAACCCGACAAGGATGACCTCTAACACCACTTTTATTCAACATTGTATTTGAAGTCCTAGCCAGGGGAGTAAGTTAAGAGAAATAAAATTCATCCAAATTGGCAAAGTAGTAAAACTATCTTTATTGCAGACGGCATAATCCTATACACAGAAAACCCAAAAGACTCAGCAAGAAAATTACTGGAACTATTTGAATGATTTAGCCAAGTGGCAGGATATAAGATCAACATACAAAAATCAGTTGGATTCCTCTACATTAATAAAAAGATCTCTGAAAAGGAAATAAAGAAAACAATACCATTTACAATAGCTACCAAAAAGATAAAATACTTAGGAATAAGTCTTACCAGGGACACAAAAGACCTATATAAAGAAAACTACAAAACACTACTTCAAGAAACTGTAAGAGACCAACATAAATGGAAGGACATACTAGCATGTTCAAGGATAGGAAGACTGAGTATCGGGAAAATGCCAGTACCACCTACAGCAATCTTACATATTCAACATAATCCCAATCCAAAGTCTATCAACATTCTTTAAGGACATGGAAACACCAAACACTAATTTTACAAGGAAAAGAAAGCAAGCTTGGGTAAGTAAAGCACTAGTGAAGAAGAAAAACAAAGTAAGAAGTCTCACACTCCCAGATCTCAAAAAACTATACAGCCAAGATAGTCAAAGCACCCTGGTTTTGACACAATGATAGACATATAGACCAATGGAACAGTACTGAGCATCCAGAAATAGATCTATCATCTATGGACAGCTGATCTTTGACAAAAGGCCAAAATCCATTTAATGGGAAAGAGTCAGCCTCTTTAACAAATGCTGCTAGCAAATTTGGATATACATTTGCAGAAAAATGAGACAAGATCCATACCTCACACCATACACAAAAGCAAACTCAAAATAGATCAAAGACCTAAATGTAAAACGCAAAACTAGAAAGTTCATCAAAGATAAAATAAGGGCAAACCTAGGGGCCCTGATTTATGGTATAAATAGCCTATCAAGCATAATTCAAAAATGCACAAATAGCAGAAGATAAATTAAAGGACTGGGACCTTTTAAAAATTAAATTCTTATGTTCATCAAAAGACTTTGCCAAAAGAATAAAAAGAAAACCTACAGATTGGGAAAAAATATTTGGTAATGACATATCTGACAAGGGACTTATCTCTAAAATTTATAGAGAACTTCAACACCTCAAGTCAAAAAGACAAACAATCCAATTAAAAATGGGCAGAGGACATGAACAGACACTTCATCAAAGATATTCAGGCAGCCAGCAAACACATGAAGAAATGCTCATGCTCATTAGCCATTAAAAAGATGCAAACCAAAAACATGAAATATCACCTCACCTCAGCAATAATAAAATTCAACAAGACAGAAAACAACAAATGCTGTGGAGGGTGTGGAGAGATTGGAACTCTCCTACACTTCCGATTGAACAGTAAAATGGTACAATCACTGTGGCAAATGGTATGGTGCTTCCTTAAAAAGTTGGAAATAGGAATACCATTGATTCAACATGGATATATGCTCACCCATGTTCATCACAGCACTATTCACAATATTAAAGAGATGGAAACAACCTAAGTGCCCACCAACAGATGGACAACCCAACTATTGTACATAACACACAATGGAATACCATGCAACATTCAAGAATGATGAAGAATCTGCGAATCACGGATGAACTTGCAGATAAACATGGAGGACAGTATGCTTAGTGAAATAAGTCAATCACTAAGTACAAATATTGTATGAGTTCATTATTATAAAAGTCAAGGAAAGGTTTATGCATGGATGGAAACTTACTTTGTTGTTTACCTGGGATGGGAGGAGAGGGAGTGAAACTGCTGAGTAGTTAAGAGATGTATTGACTTGGGTGAAGGGAAAGGCCATATAACAAAAGTGTGACCAGCACAATAGGGAAAAGGAGGACATAGAGAGGTACACAAGTGGTATACACAACAAAGGCAAATACTATTGCATACATAATATTGTATTATAAGTACACAATATTGCATTACCAGTAATAACAAACAGTAGTGTATGGGTGGATACATAGGCAGATGGATGAGAAGATCAGGTGTGGACAGGCAAATGGGAATATACCCATGATCACAGATAGGTTTGGCTGGTGATATTCCTACATACATATTAGTATGTGCTACAAAAATATCCATATACATTATATAGCTAACAGGGGACAAGGCTGGGATAGCTTCTTAGCCACAACCAAGCACCTTGATGGAGTATTGCCAGGCCTGCAGGCTTAGGAACACAGTCTCAGGGGACATCAAGCTCAATTGGCACACTGTAGTACACAAAACATTGTTCTACATCCTACTTTGGTAAGCAGCAGGATCTTAAAAGCTTATGAGTGGCCATCTAAGATGCAATTATTGGTCTCTCCTCTCCTGGAGCAAAAAAGAGGAAAATCAAAGACATACAGAAACAATTAGTACAAGGTACTAATGGACCACAGGAACCTCAGTTTACAAGATCCTCAGATCAGAAGTAGCTGATGTCTGGCTACCAATGGCAACCACTCCAGAAGTAGTCCAAAACTGGAGATCTTGGAGAGTGGGAGGAAAAATGTGGAACAAAATTGAAAAACATAAAAATGACCAGAATTACTGGTTGGATAGACTGGTGAAACCTCTGAAACTATGACCCTGGGTTACCTTTCAGCCTGGAATTGGACTAATTTCAGTAGGTTACCTCTCAGCCAAACAACAGAATGGTCTAGAAGCTGATCACCTAGCCCAGTGAAACATACTCTTTAGAACAGTCAACCTTGAGAGACTGGAAGGGCAACATTTGCATAGCGGAAAAGCTAGACAGGCAGGAACGCTTGTGTAAGGACAACACGGGGGAGTGCTAACCACAAGGAGGAGGTGGGAGGAGAGCTGTTCAATTGTGGGGATTGTAAGCAGTGACATGAAACAAAATGTGTATCAACCGTGCAGTGTAAAAAACAAATCTGCTTTCTAAATTTGCACCCAAATCACAGTAAATTTTTTTTAAATCAGATGTAAAGTAGAAAATACTTTAAAATTACAAATAAACTATGTTTTATTGTTTTTAATTATGATATTAATTGTTAAATACAACAGTGCTGCACATTAAATAGAGTATGATGAAGAAACAGGGTTTAGCAGTTAATTGTAGGCTTGAGTTCAAATAGAAAACTTATATTCACTTAGGTATCACTACTGGAAAACCTAAGTGCTTCAGAAAAACAAAGTGGTCATCCTTCTTTTTCAATTGTTTCATCTGGAAGAATCTTTTTCAGGTGATAAAACATACAAGCTAAATTAAAATGCACTCTACTCATTGGCGAGCCACATCAGCAAGAATAATGTGATCATGGACTTGGAAATTTTTGATTTATAACTATACCAGTCTCTACTTATGAGGCTGCCGTCCACGAGGCAGAGCAATGAATCATTACAATTGTCTATCTGGGAAATGTCAAAAGATTAAGTGAGGGCAGAAGAGGAAAGAATGTACATTTCTGTCAGAGAAATATTCTTCAATTAATAAAGAATATTAAGTCCAGAGCTACAGAAACAATAACTACATTTTTTAATATCTTCATATAAAACTACTACATTTAACCATAATGTTTCAGCTCCCTAGGTGGAATCAAATTATCCTCAGATCCTTTGAGTATGGGTATTCCATATGCAACTATCACGGAGGATCTACTCCTATAAACTAAGAGTTTTTAGTAGGGAAAAAAAGTTCTAGGTGGAAATAAATCAGAAATTTGAACCAATTACTAATGGATCCAACTTTTAAAAAATGAACACATGTAGTTTAATTGATAGTTTTATTACAAAAATAAGCATCCACAGAACATTTATTTACGATTTAAATTACTCCATATTTTCATATAATGTGAACAGAAAATATATTTTACCCCACACATAGTAAAAACAAACAAGTGCAATCTTTCAAACATTAAAAATGATAATCAAATCTGTACAACAGATAAATAAATTTATACCTCTAACAGCTTGTAAAACAAAACAAACACAAACACTTGTCCAAAGTCACCAGTTTACTCACAATTCTACTATGGTCATACAGTTCCATCATAACAACTTGGATCTTTACTACACTGTTTATGTTTAGACTGATAGACATAGACGTTAAAGAGAAAAATAAGACAGGGTAACAGGAAATACCAAAATGCCTAGAAAGATATTTCCAAACATTGGAAATAATACACAAAAAATAATTAGTAGGGGAAAAGTTATCAAATGGATCCACAGGGCAACTGGTGTCTGATATAGCTGAAGGAAAGGAAATGGATGAGTATTTGGATTGGAAAGAAAATCTGGCCCTTTCATAAAAACAAGCAAGACAACATCGACGACGACAAAACCCTGTCATGGAGCCTAGAGTAACTATGAGAAAAAGTGTACAAAGATTTAGGGTTTTATACCTGAAAACCACAGTTAAAAGGAACAATCATTTCAGGAACTTAATATAACATCAGAACATGAATACATATAAATTAAAGGCATAATCATCATCATTGCACATATAAGGAAACAATACTGAGTTCATTCTTGAGCAAGAAAGTTTTCAATGAAGTAGGAAGTTCCATGATGAATGTAGGTGCAGACAGTCTCATTACCAGACATTGAGTAAATACCAAACACTCAGTGGTAACACCAAGCTATTTAAGTCATCTATACATCTTTTTTTTTTTTAAATTGGAAAGGTAATCACTTCCCTGCCTTCATATGGTAACTTAAAATCATTTATAAATGGAAACATAGATCCAGTAGAAAAGACTTTTCACATGCAATCCTATACAATGCATTCTGATTTACCAATTTTTTTTTTTTTAGTATTTCACATGGAATATATACATTTCCAATATACACAAGCACACGTGTTCAAGAGACGTCAACGAGTTGTCCTCTGCCACACAAGTTTATATTTACATATACATTATTATCTCCAGATAAATGCTTTTCTCCTCTAGGCAGACACAAAGTAAGCCTGAAGAGTTTAAGTTTTTTAGGATTCTAAGAAGCTAATGTCTTGATTTATCTTGAATGGATGATAAGATGAGGAGTCCACAGAAAAATGCAGCTATACATGCCAACCTTTTCAACAGAGATGAGTTATCTTTAGGAATAATAATCTGTGCAAGATCATTAGTGATCTGAGAAATTTCATGTGCCACACAAACGAATATAAAAGTGCTGACAATGATGTTGAGCATAGGGCTTCCAGGTATGAGTACCAAGATGCCCCTTGTGTCTGCGGCCAGCCATATGTGATATTGGCAAATAAATAGCTGGTGGGGGGAGATATGTAAAAGTTAGATGTGTACAGACAGTCCAGGAAAAAATTCATTTATACTAATTTAAACATTTTATAGCATAATGATGTTACAAGGCTTCCCAAACCACTTGTTTTCATTTCACTACTGGCCCTGAAAAACCCCCTGGAGAACCTGCTAAAGCACTGCTTCCAAATCCCCAAGAAATGAACCCTAAGACCATTCTAACATTGCAAACGTTTATTTCATTTCTTTGCATGTCAGGGAAGACAGGTGAGAAAGTGATATTCCGGACTCTCGTACTGAAACCTCAATTAAAGAATTATCATATACACATGCATCTGTGTGATCTTATATATATGTGAGTAGTATATTTGTATGTATGTATCTGTCTATATATATTTATGTATGTGGACTATATGCATAATGCCACAAAGTGTAATACAAGGTATTATATCATGTCATATTTTATTGTTATACACACACATGCACATATTTACACACCCACCCACAAATATTTTGACCTTCTTGTTAGGTGACTGTATTTGATCACTCCCCTGCTTAGTCCTTTTGAACAGAAAGATCAGAGAGACTTTCTGAGCATTGTTTCTCTCCTATTTACCTTCTCTCTTTCTAAATCTTCTCACAAGAGGAAAGGGGGAGAAAAGTCTTCATATCATATGCACAAGGATTCTAGTTGAGCATGACTTTATCACAGCCCCTTGTTACTTTTTCTGTACATACTATTAAGAGTAGGAAATGGTATGGTTTTTAAGATATACTCGAAATGTACACTGATCCTCATATTTGCTCTGCATGGCCCAGCAAATGTTGTCCTGAACTGCATTACCAGTATACGTATTTCATATGAAAGTGAAATAAAGTGTATTTCAATTTGTATGTGAGTATACCATATTAGACAACACTACCTCTTCTTTTGTTGCTGATTATAAATGTGGTTGGTTCTAGTATCTCACTGCTCAAAGAACATGCTTAAGTTACTTTAACAAATATGAGGACTATGAAATTTGTTTTTAATAGACACACTAAATAGTAAATTCATGCAATTAAAATTGATATTCTTGTGCATGAATTTCCTGATTCGTGATTAAGTCATTTGTGATCAAGAATTTAAAATTCTATACAATCTCTCTTATACAGAGACTAAACAAAAATATCAGAACATTTACTCAAGAAGTCAGAAAGACATTTATTTTTCTCTATTTCAAGACAATTTAATAAATCTTAAGCTGTAAAACTTATTTGTTATGATTACAATATGAATTCTATCTACTGTTTTAAAACATTCCATTTCAAATAATAAAACTCAGATTTCTTTGAATGTATTTCAGTCTGTTTAAACTGATTCTGTAGATAACTTCATATTCTGCATCTCACATCAAAATGTAATGAGTTTAAAAATTTCCTCACAATTTTCAATCATAGTCAGTTTTATAACAGTATACATGAATAAACTGAATCCCAGTAATATAATATCTAATTATAAATATGAACAACAAATCAAAATCCCCTCAACATGATTTCATTTAAATCTAGTTTAATTTTTTTCTCTCCTGATCCAAGCAGTGTAGTACTGCTTGAAAGCTAAAGACAATATAAATATTTTGAAAGTCATATGGTTTAGCTATTTCAATAAACCTTTAAAAACATTCTACAATTCTGCTGTTAAAAGTTCTGAGTTTTTTCCTATAATTCCATGAATAAAATAGCTTAAGTTTAAGAATATTTTTGCATATTCTAGATTTAAACACACACACATATATACATACACACACACACACACACCTGGCTGTGTGAGATAAAATAAATTATTAACATACTAACCTCTAATGAAATTTTTCCAAACCAAGCAAAAAATGAACTGTACACTGAACGGGCATATCCAGGGATGTTCCTGATTAGGATGAAGGCTAAAATCTTAAAAAAAATAAAATAAATAAAACCAAACAAAAAGGCAAATATTAATAATCTCTTTAGTGAATAGTATTTTGCATGGAACTTTCTTTCAAGTAATAACCTACTGTTTCTGTTTTTGAAATAGATATGTATACAATGATTTTAAAACAGAGTACTAGCAAGTTTTTGTTGTTGCTCTACAGTCTTCTCAGCACTGGATTTCTCAATATACTGCATTCTAATGCAGATTTCAGGCTGCATATAGCTGAACATTTTTATATTATATGTACATAACATTTTTGTATTATGTGCAGGAAATCCACTTTGAGGCTCTTAGTGTTGAAAGAGTTAATACCATATCTTATGTAGCAAACTCTGTCTCCTGATAAGAGTTTGTTCCTTCCATACATTATCTACCCAGTTGGCTGCCACCTTCTCTCTGTATTTCCTTCCACTGATAGCCTCCATGTTTTCTTTTTTCTAGATCTTTTCTCACCAAAAAGAATTTTTAGCTTCTGGGATCCTGGCTTTACTCCTCTTCCTCATCCTTTGTTCCACGTAGAGCAATCTTGTGTTTTTTCTAAACCTTCTATTCACAATTTCACATCCAGTAACTAGACTAACTTAGACTCTAGCCACTTTATAAAAGAACTAAGAAATTGTCAAGTTAAAAGTGAAAAAAAAAATCACTTCCACAAATACCTTTTAAAAAGGTTCTCATAAAAAGATTAGAAAATACCTATCTATACCTGGAGAAAAATCCCTTACTCAGTTGTTGATCACCCTGGGCTTTTGTCAAAGGATCTGGGAAGAGCTTTCTTCTTATACATCATCCTTCTGAGATGGAAGAAAGATGAGGAAATGGGAGAAGATATGTAGCTAAATCTATCACTGGGAAAAAGAAAAGGAACCAACATAAACTGTTAATGTTATATGTTGTCAAGCTGGTTCCCACTCATAACGACCTCATGTATTAACATAATGAAGCACTGTCTGGTCCTGCACCATCCTCATAACTGTTGCTATGTTTAAACCCATTGTTGCAACCACTATGTCTACTCAGTAAACTACTCAGACAGAACTGATCAGTGATCCTCATGGACAATGGCATCATGAGACTCAAGCATAAATCTGGCCTTTTGCCTTATATTAGTTCTGAGACTTGAAGCAAAGTATTTAACTCCTTTTGGTCTGTTTCCTTATCCAAAAGAAAAAAAATTTACTTTGAAAAACAAAATGTAAACATTAAATAAGAAAACTATATGAAGTAGCATACATTGTGAGTCAATTAAAAAAAGTATTAGGTAATTAATAGTAAGAACAACAACAAAAAACCAAGCTCACTGCCGCTGAGTCAGACATGACTCAGAGCGACCCCTCCTTGGGTTTCCGAGGAGGCAGTATCACTACGGAAGTAGATTGCCCCATCTTCCTTCTGAGGAGTGGCTGGTGGGTTTGAACCACCAGCCTTTTGGTTAGCAGTCAAGTGCCTTAGGCACTAAGCTACCAGAGTTCCTGAGCACATACAGAGTAGGTATCAAATATTTGTTAAATGAACAAAAAAAAAAATTTGTTAAGTGAATGAATGTTTATTTATCTACTTCACTATTAGACTGTAAGTTTCTTGAGGGCAGAAGCTGTACCCTGTTTAACACTGATTCTCTTACACCCAACATGATACCCAACACACAGTAAATGATAACTATGACTAAATAAATAAATGAGGAAATTCGTATAAATAATTGAAGAAAGCAAATAAAATAAGGTAAATTAACATTTCTCAGGACTTTCTAAGTGATAAATACTAAGTTAGACTATTTTCATTCACCTAATGAAATGACCCTTTGGAAAAGATTTTAATTATCCCTTTTACAATAAAAAAAAAATAGAAGGCAGGACTTAGAGAAATTAAGTAATGCACCTACAATTTCTGGAATTTCACCTCAAATCTCTGTCTCCAAAGAGTGTGTTCTTAAAAGAATTAAGAAATAAAAATTTCTTTAAGTGAAGATAGTTACCTGCACCACAGAAACAGATGGATGGAGCTCATTGCACGCGGCTTTGTTTTTACAGTTGCTAGCCCAGATGGAGTAGGTCTAAAACAAAAAATGTATGAGTTAAAAAAAATAAAAAAATAAACCTTTAAGGAAGCACAATTCCCAAATATTTTTTAGTTTTCTTCATTTATGAAATTATATTTCATTATGCTATTTAATAAGCTTCAGTAAAAACTGCCCGCAGGTTTTCACTTGTTTGGCAGGTTCAACTATCCAAAACCACAAGGGAGGAGAGAGACAAGCATAGGTCTGTGTCTATCTGGAAACGGTGATCACAAGGCTGGGATGCCTCTTCACACCAAACAGCTCTCATTATATTTTTTCCCAAATTTATCACAACTTTTTAAATTCCTATTTTACTGGCCTGTCAGTTACTCTTCATACTTAATACACACACACACACAAATATACACAGTCTCTTTAATATCTATGTCCAATTAGAAAAATAAGGAGAAAAGATAATTTAAAATTAAAGATTTTATTTGTTAAAAATAATTACATATATTAGTTCTTAAAATTAATGTGCTATAACATTAACATATAATCTAAAATTTTTTTACAATTATGTAATTTGAAACTTACCAAGAAAGAAACTACTGAAATAAACAATAGAAAATTTGAAACTTTGTTTGAAAAAAGAGGTTCACCCTTTCCTTCAGAAAGTACTTGGCGCTTCTGTAAAGCCAGATAAATGAAAGCAAACAACATTCCATGAAAGACTACCTGAAAAGTAAGGAGAGAAAATTTTCAGAAAATACAAAAATATTTGGTTAATGAGGATCATGGGTATAAAAATAATTATGTTACAAGCGTCAAGGTTTGGAGTTTCTAGGGGAACTTAAACTTCAAGCATAAAACTTCAAGAATGAAACAAAGCTGATGACTATTAGAAACCATCATCGGTAGACAAGCAAACATCTTACACAACAATATGAGATAGGTTGGTCAGTTCTGAGCAGTCTCAGCAGCAAGTGAAGAAAGAAAGACAATTTTGGAATAATTATCAGATACTATCTTTGAAATATATGACACAATTTAAATGTACTGAATAAAGATAAAACACATTTCATATTAATCCTTTCAGACAAATAAAACAAACAATAACATCATCAAGCTCATATTTTAAAAGAGGGGAAAAATATGGTAGACCATAAAGCATGTAAGTTGTCCTTCTTAAACAATCAAATTTTAAAATCTTAACTGTTCTTCAAGATTGTATGCCATCCAGTTGATTCTGACTCATAGTGACCCTAAGGGACAGAGGAGAACTGCCATAGGATTTCCTAGGCTGTAATCTTTATGGGAGCAGATCACCAACCTTTCCCTTAGCAGCCAAGATCTTAACCTTTGTACCACAAGCTCCTCTCTGCATGGGTAAGTTCATGGATTCATTCTTGACAATGCTCTCTCTGTTTGTACACTTCGCTCAAAATCCATGCTATACCCAATTTTAAGTAGTAACCTGGAATTTTATACTAGATCACAAAGCTGGTGGTATGACTTCTTTCTCCAATATATTCTTTACAATACCATCATGTAGGGCACATATTAGGGCTCAACAGATTTTTTGAATGGTTAGATTATATATGTATCAGGGATCACTTGTAAGTCAAAATTATGACTCAAGCAAAATCTACTTTACAAGTAAAATTTTACAGAATTTTCCTGCTGATATAGATATACTCTTTGCCAGCTATAAAATAAAATGGGGTGGGAGTGAGAGTGGGAGTGGGATGGAATCATGCATGATTCCACTGACTTACCTAATCAACATGTTTCTTTAGGTTAAAACTAATTAAAAATCTATTCAAAATTTCCAAACCCTTTTTAACAAGTATTATTAGAAATGATAAAAGATCCGAAGGTAAATACATACGTAACGGTCTAACCTCCATCGGAACCACCATTCATACACATTCCCTTTCAGTTCAAAACACTTGGACACTGGCCAAAGAGAAAAGATCTTCTCAAATGCACCCTAAGAAAGGAATCAGAAAACAAAGATGGTACAAGTCAGTACGCCTGGCAATACTACTACAAACTGTGGTTTCCTAATGTCAGGATAAGGATTATTCACTATTTTAAATTCTATTTATTTCATTTGAGAGTATCACTTCATTTGAAATTTATTTGAAAATAAAAATTTATTTTACCATGACCAATAAAGATGACTTAAAACTTTTTGTTAACTTACTTTAACTTCCCATGAAAGGATATAGAGACAATGTGTGAAAAACCAAAAGCCAAAACCTGGTTTTTAATCTAATATATAAAACACCTAATACTTACTAATCAAAACACAAAAAGGCTTTAGCTAACATGGTCAATATTCTTAAGAATGATTGTTAAGGTTAAATTACAAGTGTTCTTTCCATAAATGTCCTTAATAATCTGTAATTGAATATCTGTGTTAAGAGATCCTCTGAGTTAGTCACCTCAATCAACTATATCTAAATGCCATTAATAGTCTTAGAAACAAAGTTTACAATCTTATTCTGGTTGAGTTAATGAGTGGTACCCTATTAATCATCTGACAGCCTTGAAAATCTAGGAATGAAGGGGCACAAGTCTTGGGTACATTTTTGTACATTAATGAAGTCTTTCAAAGAAGAGACAAAACTTCAATTTCTAGGCTGAAGAATGATGACAAACTCTATTAAGGAAAGCTCCATTTTAGACCTAATGCCACAACTTTAAAAAGGCTATTAATAAACAAAGCAAAAATATAAAAGTAATATTAAATTGTAAGAACTGCTAAACCTTTAGGTCAAAACATTATTTTATACTGTTAAAATACAGTATTCTCCCTTTAAACAGAATTTCAAAGACATACAAAATATTAAAAATATGTTCTATCAAAATTTTTGCACCATAAAACTAAGGATAAATCTTACCAAGGTTGCAATCTCAAGTACTTACAAATCATACACACACACACAAATGTATGTATAATATATGATCTATTAGGTCACACATATATAGATATATGATGTCTCTAATTTAGACTTTATTTTTAATTAAAAATTTTATCTCCTATATAATCAAGGAGCTCTGGTGGCATAGTACCTAAGGTACTTGACTGCTAATGAGAAAGCTGGCAGTTCAAACCCACCAGCCACTCCTTGGAAGGAAGGCTGGGCAATCTACTTGCGTAGTGATATAGCCTTAGAAATCCATGGAGGGGTCACTATAAGTCGGGTCCGACACTCGACGGCACAAAGCAACAACAACAATATATAATCAATAAACAAATATTTATTGAGCATCCATTTTGTGGAAAACATCGGGCTATGTATACTTAATTCTTTCCAGTGGTCAATACTGATCCAAAGCTGTGGAAACCAACTTAGTCTCCCTATTGAGCCTCTGGGTCAGCCTTTCTTTCCTTCCCTCAGATATACCTACAGAGTGCTGGAAATTTTAATGAACACTTCTTAAGTGGTTGTCGCTGTTCCCTGACTATTTCTTTATATTTATACATTTGCCTATTTTTTTTTCTTTCTTTAAAATTTTATTGTGATTTGGGTGACAGTTTACAAAGCAAATTCATCTTCCATACAGCAGTTAACATATACTCTGTCTCATGACATGGACTGTAATATCCCAAAGTGCACAAGCTCTCCTCCTACTTCATCCCCATAGCCAACTCTGTCTGGTGTCCTTCCCTCCCATGCACTCCTGCCCTGCTGGCTGTCTCCCTGTGCATTTGCCCGTTTTCTTATTATTTTATATATCTCCTAAAAAAATCTAGGAGGTCAACAAAACTACAGATGCATTACATATTTATAAACATAAAAACAAGTATAAAGCTTATTTTAAAAAAGAACCCCCAAAACAAACCAGCTTTATGGACACACACACACACACACACACACAGCCCAGTATGGAATTTACATCTGAAAGAGCCAGTTGTAAAAACAGGAACGGTTGAAAAGCAGAGTAAACTGAAGAACAACTACAGGCATTCACATTAAAATATCTCATTACAAATAACATAAAACCAGTTGTCATCAAGTTGATTCCAACTCACTGTAACCTTATAGGACAGAGTAAAACTATTCCATAGGGTTTCCAAGGCTTTAATTTTTACAGAATTAGACTGCCACAGCTTTCTTTTGCGGTGTTGTTGGCTGGTTTGAATCTCCAACCTTTAGGTTAGCAGATAAGTGCTTAATGACTGTGCCACCAAATTACTGCCTAAAAAATATGTCTGCCTAATGGATTTAGCCAGCAGGTAGCAGTTTGCCATTCCTATCAAAGTAACAGAAAATTTCAACCATCAGAGCAGGCGGATAAAAGGTTAGAGCTAAGAAAATGGCCAAAATTTTATTAAATTAAGCATATTAAATATATTTAAGCCCTTTTATTCTAAGTTCATTTTCCTAACTGCCAAAATTTTACTGAATGTAGTTATATAAAAAATCAAGAAACACTTTGCTGCAATGAATAATGCACAAACCAAGTTGCAAAATCTGTCAAGAAAATTTTGATCTCCACTTAGAGTAGTGTCTTACAAGAGGCATTCAATAAACGTTTGATTGATCAAAGTCAAGTAAAATGGATCTTGAACAATTGCCAGAGGAAGAGCTTTAAATTGCTCTTACAACAAAAACAGTGGTAACAAAAGTAGATAGGTCTCAAAAGATCTACACTGAGTAGTCAACTACAGAGTGACACTTTTATTACAGTCATTAAAAAATGAAGCAAAAAGCTATGACTCTTCTCACATACTTTAATAGAGTTGAACTTTAAAATAAAGCGTAACAAAATGTAAACTGAAAAAAACTGTACAAACCTGAGAATATGCCAAAAAACATATACAAAACAGCAAGAAGGCTAGTTTCAACAGTAAGCCAAAATGCCAGAAACAATTTCCTAAGAGAGAAAATATTTGAATTTACTAAGAAATATAAATTTACATTGAAAATATATTAACTATGAAATATTTTCTATTTATTTATATGCAGCATAGTTCTTAAAATAATTTACAACTACTTATAAAAATACACACAATGTATTTAGGTAGCACAGGTTACAAGAAGGACAAAAAGAAAAAACAGGCAGAGAAGGATCCTTGCTGAGAATGAAAACATCATAACCTATACACCTGCTGTTCATCAACTCTATCTAAAAATGTCCCCTGGATTTAATTATATCTAGTCATTATTAAAAACTGCAACAAAAATTTGGAACGATGTATTAAGTGTAATTCTAACAAACACTCATGTTAAATATAATTTAAGTGATACTGCTTAAACATTAAAGTTCCAAGGGGAGAGCTTAAACTCCAAAATGGACTAGGAGATACCTTTTTAGTATATGCATACTTCAATTACTTGTTCAAAGTTAATACATAATGATTGTTCAATTGATTAATATGCTGAGTTGTGTGAAGGATTAAAGATAGAGGCTGTTCAAAGACCTTAATGGACTTTGTTGGAAGCTGGAACTCAACCCTTTCCTCAAAAATTAGTTGATAATGGAAAATTTTTTTTTTGTTATATGGTAAGAGTAAGAATAGTTTTCAAAATTAAAAAAAAAACTTTTTCAAAAAGAGGGGAAAGTTTTATTTTAACAATATTATTGTGAAGGAAAAAAGCATTAAGATGAATGCCTTTGGCCTCAGTTTCAACACTACCAGTAATCAGCCATGGGAAATTTGAAAATGGGACCATCTTGGGTACTCAGTTTTCCTTATGTGTAAGACAGGCTGATGAGAACTGCCTAAAGCGTTGCCTAGAAGATCAATTATATTAGTGTCTTTAAATTTTTATATTAAAAAAAGTCTTCTTGCAAATGAATGTTTACTCAAAATCTCAATGTGTGTAAGAAATCACATAAAAGCAGAGCTGCAAAGACTGAAGCAAGGTGAAGCCATCTGGAGCCCTACTGGCTTCTCCTTCTCCAGTAAACTCTTTTCTCTTCTAGCTACCTCCACTTTGTCTCTGTACAACACAGTGTGGAAACTGTTCCATTAGTTGATGCATAAAGTGCTGCTGAAAAATTCAAATTTAAAAAGGAAAACACATACATACAAAATGTATGCGAAACACTATTCTGTACTAAGGGATATTATTTAACTAGTTGGCTGCAGTACCTTAGAAATGTATTTTATGAACTAAATATCACAATGCCAAAATTATGCATAAAAATAAACTGTCTACATCTCTCAATATAAATAATAGCTTTGGTAATGAAAAGAAATTTAGTCCACTGAAAGAATATGTTTATTAACATTAGTAAAAAAGTATACTTACCATTTGCCTTCTTTTGGATTATCTGTGGCCATAGTGCTAAAGTAACGTATATGACCATGAACCACACAGTGACCAAGGGGACAAAGTAATAGAACTGGTAAGGCCGATCCATTACTATACATAACACTACTACCAGGAAATTGAGACGAAATAAGACCTATTAAAAAAAAAAGGGGGGCGGGTAGAAAATAGTTTTCATTCCAGGTATACACAAAAATCAAAGTCAGATTTCCTCTGACAGAATGTTTATTTGACACTAAAATAATAGCTGCATATTTTATTAATCCTCAAATTACATTTGTTCTATATTCACTGTAAAGCATTGAATATAAAATATTTATGCATCATTACATTAACTCAATCCCAGCAAAGCACCAGCCTACACTGTCCTCTGGCTACACTTGCCGTCTTGTTAAATGTAGGGAAGGAATTGGAAACCTTCTTCCTAGGGCTACAGTTTATATGCAAATATTAGATTACTTCAAAAAAAAGGGTGTCCATTTCATCTCGTTTGATACTGATGTACCCCATTTGGGATTAAACTGAATGGTTGTCATAGATACAAAATAATATCACTCAAATTAAAAAGTGTCTCTGGGACTTTTCTAACAGTCATTTCAGATATTAGTATGGTATCATTCAAAGAATGCAGAATTTGAACAGATTTATATTAGATTATATACATATTCTTATATTTATACATATACCCTTTATTCTGTGACAAAGGATAAATTATTTAACCTCACTGGGCCTCAGTTTCTTTATCTGTAAACATGAACAACTCAAGGTTGTATTGAAGGATAAATAATGTTTATAAGATGCCTGCACAAGATAGAAATGTATATATTAATCTACTTCTCAGAGAAAGAAGACATAGCACATTTTCACAATTCCAGATTGTACTTGTACATTTGTACAGAACTAAAGTGCCTCAGCAATGCTGTCCCTTGTGTGTCAGTGTTATTATATATTCTTCTAAATTTTATTTTCCCTTCTTACAGTAATAAATTATCTTGAATTATTAAACATAGAACCTAGAAATAATAATTTTAAAGTGGTATTTATAAATTCAAATTACTTCTTATCTTATAATGACCATATTTATGTTTATTGAACAGTTTGGCATAAAAGCATGTTGAACTGAAAGAAAAGGAAAATAAATGAATGTATTCCTACCTGACATACTCTATGGATTCCAAAGTCTCCTTTGATCCAAAAGTATGAGAAATGCCCATAACCTGTCTGAAATAGATATGCAGCAACCAGAACTCGAATGTGCATGTATACAGGCAAAAACTGTTGACAAAACAAAAAGGTAAAAATCCATGTTGGCATTAACTATGTTCTGAATTATAATTACACTGAACAAAGATAAGAGATCATCAGTATCACTTGGTATCAGCTCAATGAAAAGCTTTCTCAAAAAATTAGGCATATCACAGATGATTGAAAAACAGAGTAAACCACTTACTAGTTTTGTGACTTTTAAGTTTTTGAATCTGCAAAATAAAACTACTTCCTTCTTCCTCAAAAGGTTCTTGTGAAAAATGAATAAGATAATAAATGTGAGGCATTTTCAACATTAACTTGTACTCAGTTAGAATTCAATCTATGATATTGTTGTTGTTATGTGCCGTCGAGTCAGACTGACTCATAGTGACCCCTCCTTGGATTTCCGATGCAGTATCACTACGGAAGTAGATTGCCCCATATTCCTTCTGAGGAGTGGCTGGTGGGTTTGAACCGCCAGACTTCTGGTTAGCAGTCAAGTATATAATTATTAACAACCATATATCCTAAATATAAAGGTTACCCTGGCTCTCACAATTTCCGAAAGGGAAGATGAAAAACAAAACAAACAAAATTCCTACATTTTTGGTTCCCACATAGAATTTAGAGCTACAAATAAAAGCCACATGACTATACTTATATTTTTTTCAAAATTATTTAATTATTTAATAAAAAATTGTGTTCATGTAGACACAATTTTAAAATACTATTTTCTCACTCTTATTTTATGAAACAATTTTATTTTCAACTTCCACATCAGTGTCTTCATCACTACACAAAACCCCTTACAATCATTTACCATGGTTTTTCAAAGCACCACATCTTCACTTCTAGGGTGAATGAAATACAGCACATTCTTAATCTCCACATAGTGTGAGTCACTGGAAACTCTCTCATTTACAAGTACTAATTCTCATAACCTTAGAACACTGCCATTCCACCTATTCCTACCCATTGATCCTATAGGTGTATATTCGTGATCTCTACATTGTAATCATAAAGCCTGTTCAGTGACATCCAACTCTTACATTTATAAGGTCATTTATTTAGGGATGATTACAAAATCTGTGTATAATTTCTTTGGCTTCTATTTTAAAGATCCACCTAATCGCCTCTGTAAGTGTCCAACATGAACACTGCTCATGGCCATTTCCAGTTAATGTGTCTTCTCCAAATGATACTTTGTGGGATACAGTATTTTCAAAATACTGCATTTAAGTGGACATCTTAAACAAAATATTTTATCAGGTATTAAATGCATAGCATCTCTTTCTTTTCTAAGGAATAATGTTTATTTGGAAGAAAAATGCCTGAGCTTATAATTGGGTCCTACATTCTTTTACATGGCCTCCATTCTAGCCAAACTGATTCTTTGTCTTCTAAGCAAGCCCTTGGTAAGCTTCTGTGCCAACACTCCTTTGTTTGCCATTTCTTCTACCTTGGAATGTTCTTCCCTTCACCGCATTTTGCTTATGCAAATCTCATTCTTTAGAGCTCTGTTCAAATTTTCCAATATTTACTATCAGATGAAAGCAATTTCTCCTTACTCTGAGTTCCCTGAGCACCAACAATCTATATATCAAACTTAGATGCTTCATTTATTGCCCTGAATGATGTTGTGGTTGTTAGGTGCCACTTTAGCTCCAACTCACAGCGACTCTATGTACAACAGAATGAAAGGCTGCCTGGTCCTGTGCCAGCCTCATAATCCTTCCTAGACCCAAGCCCACCGTTACAGCCACTGTGTCAATCCATCTTGTTCAGGCCTTCTCCTTTATCGCTGACCCTCCACTTTACCAAATACAATATCCTTCTCCAGGGAATGGTCCCTTCTGACAACATGACCAAAGTAGGTGAAGCAAAGGCTGGCCATTCTCGCTTCCAAGGAGCATTCCAGCTGCACTTTTTCCAGGACAGATTTCTTAGTTTTTCTGGCAGTCCATGGTACTTTCAGTATTCTTCGCCAACACCATAACTAAAAAAGATCAACTCTTCTTCGGTCTGTCTTGTTCGCTGCCCAGATTTCACATGCATATGAGGTGACTGAAAATACCATGGCTTGGGTCAGGTGCACCTCAGTCTTCAAAGAGACATCTTTGCTCTTCAGCACTTTAAATAGGTCTTTCATAGCAGATTTGCCCAGTGCAATATGTTGTCTGATTTACTGACTGCTGCTTCCATTGGTGTTAATTGTGGAACCAAGGATTATGAAATCTCTGACAACTGCAATCTTTTCTCCGTTTATCGTGATGCTGCTTATTGGTCCACTTGTGAGGATTTTTATTTTCTTTATGTTCAGTTGTAATTCATACTGCAGACTGCAGTGTTTAATCCTCAACAGAAGTGCTTCAAGTCATCTTCACTTTCAGCAAGCAAGGTTGTATTGTCTGCATATTGCAGGTTGTTAATGCATACCTGTCAGTTTGTCTTACTGTGATGGATTGTGTGTTGCGTGAGGCTGGACACTGTGCCACAGGTATTTCAAATATCAGCAGGCACCCATGGTGGACAGGTTTCAGCAGAGCTTCCAGACTAAGACAGTCTTGGAAGAAGGAAGGGGCCATCCACTTCTCAAAGAACTGGCCAGTGAAAACATGATGAATAACAGTGAAATACTATCTGATATATTACTGGAAAACTTGATGGAACAGTCCTTAACCATAGTTCTTTTTAAATATCTTATCTTAACATCAGACCAGGAATTTTCAAAGAAAATAATAGAACCACAGAGATGAATGTAAAAAAGTACTGCTGTAATAACTCAGGGTTTATCTAATATCTCAATCTTGAATGCCCTCTAAAATATCCTCATCACCTATTTGTCTAAATACCTTTTAATAACAGAAGACATACAAACTCCCAAGGCAATCCATTTGATTTTTAGTCATTAACAGCTATAAAGTTGAAATCTAATCATAAGTGAAAGCTACCAACTTCAGCCCTCTAAACAGGGGTATCCAATAGAAATAAATTCTGAGACACATATATATTAAATGTGGCTACTAAAAAATTAAAAAAGTTAAAACAAACAGGTGAAATTAATTTTAATATATTTTATTTAACTTCATCAATATACAATTATCATGTCAACATGTATTGAGATATTTTACACTTTTTTATACTAAGTTTTTGAAATCTGGTGTGTATTTAACACTTATAAGACATCTTAGTCACAATAAGTTAAATTTCATGTGCTCAAAGGTCATATGTGGCTAGTGCCTACTACTATTCTGGACAGTCTTGCTCTAGAGCCACACGTATGAGCTGATCACTCTTACACTGAGTAGCCATACACATATTTTAAAATCTATGTTAGGCTCTGGAAGTGTAGTGCCCAAGGCACTTGACTGCTAACCAGAAGGCTGGTAGTTCAAACCCACCAGCCACTTCTTGGAAGGAAGGCTGGGCAATCTACTTTTGTAGTGATACTGCCTCGGAAACCCAAGGAGGAGTCTCTGTGAGTCAGGTCTGACTTGACAGCACATAACAACAACACAAAAACATGTAAAGCCTAGGGAAAACATTCTCTATTCCTTTAACCACTCTCCATAAATAAAACAGATTTTCAAATTCTTTTAAGGCTGAGGCTGGGAATACAAAGTTGTGACTTGGTTGTTATATTTAAACAGTAAATATAGTTCATTTAAACAGAATTAAGCACTATCAAACAGTTTTCCAAGTTCCTGTGAACTCTGGCTTATTATAAATTTCAAATAATAGTTTCTCAGTTTTTTATTTTAAGATATTTTAAACCAACAGAAAAGTTGCAAAAACAGTACAATGGAGACCTAATTACCAAACTGAACCATTTGAAAACTGCAGACCAGATGACATCACTCCTACTTATTTCAGCAAGTATTTCCGAAGAATAAAGGAGAGTTTCTTATATGATCTCATTACCATTATCATACCCAAGAAATTTAATATGCATGTAATAATATCTAGTATGCAATCCATATTCAAATTTCCTTTACTGTCCCAGTAATAACCTTTATAAATTTTTAAAATTTTGTTTTTGATCTAGAAACAACAATCAAGGATCACATATTGCATTTAGTTGTCATGCTCTTTAGTCTCCTTTAATGCAAACTGGTTTTTTCAATGATTCAAGTATTACCTACAGCAACATTTTAATATTAAAAATAGTATTTGAAAATCCAATTTTATCAAATTTGTTAGACTGAGTTCTAGTTCTATTCTTTCTCAAGTCCCACAAATTTTCCTTCAAGTTATTTTATTCAGGTCCCTTCATGAAAATTATTTGTGAACTCTCAAAAAAAAAAAAAAAAAAAGAGAAACTCATAATGGAGCACAAAATCATCATCTACTGTACAGCTAACTTACTGCCCTCTCAATGTTCAATTCACAGTGTTTTATTAATAATTCATATAAATTATGTTGTAAAAAGAATATTTATACTAACAAATTAAATCTGTTAGACCATCTGGATTATTTTAATAATCCCCTGGAATTTCTGACAGTTTCTTTCTATTTTAGTATAAAAATATGGCACAACTAAAGTTTGATATGTTGTTTTTGTTGTTGTTATGTGCCATCTAGTCGGACCTGACTCATAGCAACCCTTCCTTGGGTTTCTGAGGCAGTATCACTATGGAAGTAGATTGTCCAACCTTCCTTCTGAGGAGTGTCTGGTGGGTTTGAACCGCCAGCCTTCTGGTTAGCAGTCAAGTGCCTTAGACACTATGCTACCAGATATATTTTACTCAAAATAAAAAGCAGTCAGATTGTTTTTGTGTGCCATGGAGCTGATTTGAACAAACAACCCTACAGGACAGGGTAGAACTCCCCATAGGGTTTCTTTACAGGAAGGAGCGCTTTTGGTGCAGTGGTTAAGCAAGCTTGCTGCTAAATGAAAGGTCAGTGGTTCCAAACTACCAGCAAAGATGTGGCAGTCTGCTTCCATAATGATTACAACCTTGGAAACCCCACGGGCAGTTCTACTCTGTCCTATAAGGTCATTATGAATCAAATCCATTAGACAGCAATCTTCAAGGGACCAGTTCACCATGTCTTTTCTCCCGTGGAACAGCTGGTGGGGGCAAAATGCCAACCTTTCAGTCAGCAGCAAAGCACTTTAACCACTGCAAGACCAGGGCTCCTTACATTAAAATGAGGTCAGCAAAATAATCGTGGCAGTTAAATAGAGTTTTTAATGAGGGTCAAACCTCAAATACTCAAGAATCAAATGCTCAAGTTCCAAAATGTTAAAACTCATGCTAATAACGCTCTGCCAATGGAAATACAGTTAATTTTAACCACAAAAATCCTATAAAAAAGAACTAGGATATGTTACTTTATAATAACAAGTGATCTGTTAATGGAAGATATGTGCTTCTAAAACAGATTTTTTTTTTTTTTTTAATTGTAATTTAGGAAGTATTGGGATACATTCTAAGAAGTATCAGAATTCTAATTTGGCAAATGATTAAAATAGAATGCCAAATTCCTTTCATTCTTTTATTGTCTAAATCCTTCCTGGAATCACTGAATTGAGGAACTTAATCTGCCATTAACACGTCTTACTTTCTTTTTTTTTTTTTTAACAGTGGCATCATCATTTAATGTGTCAGCAATTAATTATGTCTCTAAGTGACATTTTCTTAAAACTGAAACTTTTTTCCCAAAAAAACTAAGTTTTTATTCATGTGTCAGAGATATTTCTAGAATTCAGTATTCATCTCTACTTCTTAGAGAATTTTCTGGGTTTATCTTACAAATGCTGAGCTGAGCTTATACATGTTCTCCTATGTCCCTCTCTCATTGCTCTGTGTCTCTTGTCCTGTGTCCGCTCTTTTGTAACTACTCGTACTTACTAGTTTCCCTCAACTACAGGGTCACCGGATATGTGTATTTGTGTTGCCACAAATACACATATCATAGCCATACACTGTCAGTAAAAACTGTACTTCATTACCCTGCCTTCTTGTCCTTCAAGCCATTCATAAAATCACCAACAAATTTTGAAAATAATATTTATCTTCTAAGTTGCTGCTACAGAAATTTGAAAATACTTCCTTTCTGGGCAATATTCATCCTATTATCTCAATTTATCATTGATTCAAATACTGTTCATACGCATATGCTTTATATAAGCAAATAAAGTAATAAAAAGCAATTCAATGGTCCCCAAATTATGAGTGCTTTTCAAACTTTTTAAGCATATTTTATAGAAGTTAGTTTGTGTCTCAATTATAAAAGTTTGGGTTAAAAGTAGTTACCAGAGCTCAGAAGCATTACTTCAACTGTAATGTAGCAGGAATGTGTAACTCAGAATGAGTATTTCTTTTTCTATCCCTGCCATATCCAAGGTGAGCACAGACCATTAGAACCCTAAGTTGTTTATGATACCAAGGGAGAAGGAAAAAATTATGTTTGCCCAGGTACAGCAGGCATGAGGAGATGAACAGGAAGAGATCTCCCTGGCATGGATAGGGTGACACTTAAGAAGACACACTCTACATGTCTACACTGGTGTCCATCTGTGTCTGAGGGTCATATTCTTTATTTGAACATCACAGGAAAAAGATTGATAAATTTTCTATACTTCAAAATGGTAAAAATAATGTGGGGAAAAAAGTATAAAAATAGCTGGTCAAACTTCTTAAAATGTAGGAAAGGGTAAAATAATCCAATAGAATAATCTAATTTGATCTCTTCTGATTGATTGTTTTCTTTTAGACTGGTAAACTGCCTATTCTAAATCTTTGCAATTGTCATCTATAAAGCTTCTTGATAATTTTAAATTAGTTGTTCAATTAGATAACATGATGTAATACCCTTAGATTACCAGCTCTTTAGACTACATGAACTCTTTCGTGATCCTTGGGACTTATATTGCTCATCAACATTTTTAGCCTGCCAGATTTCTTGGGAAGTTGCTATTCTAGTTGTAGTAAATGCTACCACCTGGCAGTGACCTGTATAACTGCATGAATCAGAAGAAACAGGCCTCACCCCATCAATTCTAACTCCAGAGTCTATTTGGGATATATGTGTCCCATATAGTTTTATCAAAATCTTTATTACCTCAAAATATTTTTTCCCATGATTTCAGTATGCCTTCCACTATTGAAAACATGTAGTATTAACCCAAAAATTCAATGAAAGGGTTAAAATTATGGCCCAGTAAGTATAAATCGATTATTGGGTTCTCTTACCTTATTTTTCATTTTTTTAAATTTTGTTTTAAAAATCTACATTCTCAAAAAGTCAGGTTGTAGGAAAAGAATGGGAAGGGAGAAAGGTTAGGGAAGAAGTACGAAGGATCTCTAAATGATGGGGAATACAAAGCCCATTATTTCCTATACTTTCTGAGCTTAAAATTCAAAATACTTACTGTACTTGCTCCAGAGATATGATAAATCAAAATCACAAGTTGCATCCAGCCTTTCCATTCATCTGTTTGTTCTCTATTTAACACTTTGGTCTGTATAAAATAATCAAATTCTGTTTTAAGAATTCATCATGATGTAATTATCTAGAAAGTATGTATTAAAATGTATGCTATTGAAACTTATAGTAAAATTTATATAAATGTAAAATTTACATGTTAAAATTTTTCTTACGTGATATAAAGTTAATGTTTCTGTCAAAAATACCAAGAAGACAAAAAAAGCTAAAAATTACCCTTTTGTTTCTTAACAAAAGACTTGTTAAAACTCTTAAATATGATATAAATATGAAGAAGAAATGTGGAATATTTAAGTTGATCTTTATGACTTTAGGAGTGCTGGTGGAAGCTTTTGGCTACTAATCAAAAAGTTGGTGGTTCAAACCAACCAGCTACTCTGCAGGAGAAAGATGAGGCTGTTTGCTTCCCTGAAGAGTTAAAGTCTTGGAAACCTTACGGGACAGTTCTACTCTCCCCTATAAAGTCACTTTGAGTTGGAATTGACTCAATAGCAGTGAATCTGTTTTGTGGGTTTATGATTATACATCAAGATTACATTAAAATTAAGACAGATATGAGTAATTATAAATCTAAAAATGATTTTTTATAATTTTTTGTAATAAAATATTACAATCTCAGAAAGGATCTTACAGGTCCCCTAAACTTTGTAGTTGGAAAAATATCTTTATTTTTCCTAGTTGGCTTATTATTGCTGTACTTTATTTTTCCTAGTTTATTCCCACTGGAGATGAAGAATTGGTTCATCACCCTCATATGAGAGTTATTTAACACAACAGAATTCATTAATTCAAATCATGGCTTTTAAGGAAATTACATAAATATTGTAAGCAATGACAGCAATTCTAAAATAGGAAATACAGAATATTTTGAGTAATGGCCACATCATTATATAAATTCTAATTTGTGTATGTGTGTGTCTGTCTATCTGTAATACATATGAACATATGTTTGTAAATATAGGCATTTGCTAATGTAATTATATTTTTAACTTATAAAAGATAATAGTATCTCATTACTAATATGAACATTATAAAATCAGGAGCACCTCCACTTCCTCTATCCTCAAGAAGGTAAAAATAACACTAAATCATGACATCTTTTTCACAAATCATATTTTCCAACTTTTTAACAATCTTCATGTGACTTTCTGAACTTCTTCCAAACTGTTCCTAAAGTACCACTAAGTGAAGTATAGAAGCCTTTGTATTTTCTGGCACGATAAATGATATTACTTCTTTTGCAAAGAATTTATAATGAGATAAGAAAGGCAACATAAACAAAAAAGAAAATTATTATTACCTCTTTAGTATTTTCATTGTAAAACACTCCCAAAACCAAAATGTAGATAATTGGAATAAAGAAAGATGAATGTGTATAAAATTTGTTTTCCTTCATAAATAGATTTGCACGGTCACACATATAGAAATAAGCCATAATCAGGCCAAGTTTGCAGAAAGACTGTAAAAGTATTTCTAATGGAGACACAGAGATATTGATAATATTTTTCTTTTCTTCTCCACTTTCCAAATCAGTACTTGGCTTATTCTTCCGATGAATATTACGATGAATTATATAAAAAATTAAATATCCAATAATAGATGAGGTGAAAAAGCAAGCAGCTAGTTTCTGTATGAGGGTAAGAGGAGGCCGAGGTTGACAACAGGAACCATCTACAGGCTTCAAAATCTTATTGCAGTACACGTTCATAAGAATCATAGCACTCTGTGAACAAATCAAGTTATTCCGTTATTATCTTGTCAGTAATGTATTTCACATTAGATTTTCTCCTGTGAATACTGCCACATTTTCAACAACTGAAACCAGAATGCTTTTTTACTTTTTGCTACCATTTTCCAAACACTCATGCAAGTAATATTATTCTTTCAACCTCTACTACGTAGTGCAGGGTTTTTCATACTTTTTTGACTATGACCTACAAATAAGAAATTCACTTTACAGTGAGACCCAGAACACACATATAGGAAACAATAACCATCTTTACTATTTTTAATACATTTTTCTGATGTACTCCTTTAAAAAAAAAAACAAAAAAAAAACTGATTTCATGGCTAATAGGTTATGACCTTCAGTTTAAAAAATACTGCCATATGTCAAGGATCAAAGAAGTTAAATGAGCAGACTTTCCCAACAAAAGATACCAAGATATTTAAGACAGAATCTCAGTCTTTGGATGTGAAACAAGAATGTAGACACACTGCCACTGGAGGGGGGGAGTCCCAGCTAGCAGTATTTGCTGCATACCTTTCATTTTGTTATACCTTATAAATCATTTAGGATTCTATTGTTTTAAGATTTCAAATGTGAATTAAAATGGTGAATCATCAACATGGTTTGATTATAATAAAAATCTTCTATGTAAACTAACTGTCAAGATTCTCTCTAGTTCAAAGTTCAGTCAAACTCTAGTTTCATAAAAATTTTGTGGTTTAGGCATCTGTGGGACTCTACATGATGTTATTAAGCCTATGCTTTCAAAGTACTCAAATCTTTAGACAATCTCACCTTTAAGCCCTGAGACTTCAGGAATTTTTGTGCCTAGCATTCCTGCAGGTAGTAATCTACAGGTTCCAATCAAAATTCTTAACCTACTTCTAAACTAGGTTCACAAAGCCCCTTAATCAGTATCTAGAACTGTGTGTATATGCAATTTACATGTTTTTCAGCAAAAAAGTAACTAAACTCTTGCTTTTCATATAATACCCAAAGGATATATGGTATTCTCAAAATGTGCCCACTGCTTTACAAAATAACAATAACGTTAGTATGTTTTAATGGTGGTGAAAATGTGTAATTATGCAGTTCTCTTTTATATTTAACCTAAGTCACTTTTGGTCAATCAACTTGGATAAGCTGAGTATCTACCATGTACCTTAAACAATGTTTAGGGTACAAGATGTATAAGATAATAATAAAAATCATTCTATATATTTTTTAAAATGTGCTCTTCACTTAAGCCTTATTTTATATATAACATAAAGCAGTGGTTTTCAAACATTAGTGTGTTGAGGACTTATAAACTTAATACACATGTCAGGAGAGATTTATGCGAGAGACCACCCAAGATATACAATTGGCTTCTATTAGCCTGCAGCAGCCAAGGAAGAAAGAGATCCATGAATGCAGAAGGAAATGGATTGCAAGCCTAACTGCCATCATGAACTACTACTACCCTCTTTGCCCCAACACTAGAAGACGTGGATGGCGCCTGGCAACCATTATTGAATGTTTTAATCAAGGACCCAATAGTTGGATCATGTCAAATAAGGAAAATTACTGAATAGAACTTCAAATTATTATGGAAACCACACTCATTGGATCCACTGAAATTAGAGGAACCCCCAAATCTACTGCCCAGAAATAATCTTTAAACTTTGAACTGAAAATTATCCCATAGAGTCATCTTCCAACTAAGTAATAGTTTAGCTCTATTATTTAAGAGTATTAAGGGTATTCTCCTCGGGCACTGTGCTCTTTTAAAGAATTACCTATATGAGATCAAACTGACAATAGTAAAAGCAAAGATGAGAACTTTTAGGGGCAAAGAGTCTAAGTTAAGGGTGTTGAAACAATATGGGTAAAGATAATGAGAAGTGACACAATGTGAAGTATGTAACCAATGTCACTGACGTATATGTGTAGAAATGCTTTGTATATTTTCACCACACACACACAAAAAAGCGACTCACAAAGTTTCATTTCCTCCCTCTCATAACTTCTTTCTTTTTCTTAAGAGTATACTAAATCTCTCATTTCTTACATATTCACCTAGGTGATGGAAAGCAAAATTATTTCTAGATCTACCTTCAGATAAAATAACTAGAATTAAAACTGCAATAAAATAAAAATTACTCACAACATTGTTATAGTGACTATACTACATCTAATTAGATATCATATTTTTTATCTACTGAGAGATGTAAGAATTCTTACGGTTTGTCTGCTTGACTCAGGAAGATGTAAGCCATCCAAAGATTCCATGATGGTTTCTTGAGCAATTAATTTGGAAACACTGAACATCTTAACATTTGATTTAGAATTTCTGGTGCTACTATTCAAAATACTGACTGCAGCTTCATTGTAGGCATCTATCTTCTCATTAGTGATCATTTTCCTGTTTTCACTTAATAGATCTTCATAAACAGGATCTGCACATGAAATATATTTTTTAATAGCACATTTAAAAAATTTCTATTGGTAGAAATTGTGATCATGAAAGTTTAACTAAACCTCATTTCAAATTTTGTTTTTAAAGTCCATATGGTTCCAGGTATCTAATAATTCATTTTTACATAAAGATGATCTAGGTTTCTTGATCTAAGACTTCCAATCTTATATTCAATTTTTTAGTCAATGAATTTTAAGTCAATTAACTTGAATTAAAACAACATATACGTTAAAAGAACTTTTATTCCTCTTCTCATGTATACAGATTTGGAGAACCAGTTTTATGTTCTAACATGTCTTAAGGGTAAAACTTTTGGATGCTGGGTTATACCGAGTAACAGTAAATGAAAACTGATGACAACCTGAATAAAAATAGCAACCGCTTTTTTTTTTTTTCCTCTTGCATAATCCTATAAAACTTTAATCATTCAATAAGAGAGTGGTATTATTGAGGATCAAGGTCTGACTATTCTCTTACCACCTACCTATATTTAAATTTTAAATTTATTTAAAATTATATTACTAAGAAAGAGAGTAACAATGAGGGTAAATAAAATAGAAATTGTGGAACAGATTATCACCATATCTTGTTACTTCTCTCAGCTTGACATTCAACTTAGAAATAATCAGAAGAGTCTCTTACAAACTACTTGAGTAGCTAAAACACTCCAGGCATTTCATATTGGCATTAAATGGGCATTCAATAAAGTCTTGAAATGAGCTGACCTAATGCCTACATCCTCTTAAAGAATTTCATTACCAAGTATAAATTGTTGTTGTTAGAGGCCATTAAGTCAATTCTGACTCATAAGCAACCCCATGTACAACAGAACAAAACACTGTCCAGTCCTGCACCATTCTCACAATCTTTGCTATATTGGACCCCATTGTTACAGCCACTGTGTCAATCCATTTTGTTGAGGGTCTTCCCCTTTTTCCCTGACCGTCTATTTTACCAAGCATGATATCCTTCTCCAAGGAATGGTCCCTTCTGACAATATGACAAAAGTAGGTAAGATGAAGTCTGGCCATTCTCGCTTCCAAGGAGGACCTGACTGCACTTCCTCCAGGATAGATTTGTTCGTTCTTCTGGCAGTCTATGGTGTTTTCAACATTCTTTGCCAATACCACAATTCAAAGGCATCAACTCTTCTTCAGTCTTCCTTATTCACTGTCCAGCTTTCAAATGCATATGAGGTGACTGAAAATACCATGGCTTGCGTTAGGTACACTTTAGTCTTCAAAGTGACAACTTTGCTTCTCACCACTTTAAAGACGTCTTTTGTGGCACATTTGCCCAGTGCATTATGATGTCTGATCTCTTCACTATTGCTTCCATGGGTGTTTATTGCAGATCCAAGTAAAATGCAATCTTTGGTAACTTCACTCTTTACTCCATTTATCATGTTGCTTATTGATCCAAGTATAAACTAGATGGTGCTAATTTACATATACTTTGTCAATTCCAAAGTATATTTACTTCTAATGATTCTAATATTCTGAGGGTTATTAATAATTTTTTCTATACATTTGTTTCTCAATCACAAAATACAGAATTTGTAAGAAATAAAAAAATTAGAGGTAAATCTCTCATCTACCTTTAAGATGATTTGATATATTCTGTAGTCCTTTGGCCTGCTAAGGCTCCTTGGAGGATACTTTTTATTTATGTATTTTTTACTTATTATATTTATCAGTCTATCTCTCCCCTAGACACATAAAAAGCAAGTAACTCAATTTCATTCTACTCTTGCAAATCTTGTTTCAAAATTTATTCTCACAAAGCAGTAATTTCGCTTCTTAAAATAGGAGATTATAAAAACCAATGCCATAAAATATATACAAGGAAAAAAAAATATATATATATATATATATATATATATTTATTTATTTCTTACCTTGTAAGACCCAATAAACATCACTAGTTTTTGCCAATTTTTCCAGAAGTGGGGCTATGGAAGTAATGTTCATTTTGTATTGGGAAAGTGCTTCACTGCTACCATTGTGAATCTTGATGGACCACTAAGAATAAGTAAATATTAAGAATTAATTCAGCATTTTTCACAGACAAATTAAAGGATATAATCTACCTACAGTAACAAAATTATTTTATAGTTGCAATTTTTATTCGATATTAAAACAAAATTTGGTTAAAGGTGGTCAAATGATTTTCATGAAATATATGATGGCAGAAAGATGCTATAAAATTACATTTTTAAATGTACAACATTCAAGAAAAATACAATTTTAGAGATGAAATAATACTAATATTTAACACCATTATTTCTACAATTCATTCATCTTTTTATTAATATTCACCAGCCAATTAATTATAACAGAACTTAAAACATAAGTGCAATCAAGAATTCTGTTCAAGCATGTTGTTGTTGTTGTTGTTATGTGCCATCGAGTCAGCCCTGACTCATAGCGAGCCCTCCCTGGGTTTCCGAGGCAGTATCACTACGGAAGTAGGATTGCCCAACCTTCCTTCCGAGGAGTAGCTGGTGGGTTTGAACTGCCAGCCTTCTGGTTAGCGGTCAAGTGCCTTAGCCACTACGCTACCAGAGCTCCCATTTAAGCATAGTAAATACTATTTATTAGTATATCCTTGAGAGCTCACATAGTGCCTAACGCACTTGACTGCTAACCAAAAGGCTGGCAGTTCAAACCCACCAGCCACTCCTCAGAAGGAAGGTTGGGCAATTTACTTCCGTAGAGATACTGCCTCGGAAACCCAAGGAGGGGTCGCTATGAGTCGGGTCCGACTGCATGGCACATAATAACAACAACAATGGTATATCCTTAACATGAAACAAAAATCATTATATAAAGAATATAGCTAGTAACTTACTGTGGCAGCTCCTGCTACAATTACATGGGGCTTTGCAACAGAGTCCTATAGGAAAAAACAACAACAAAAAAAACCCTCTATAATAATGTAGTATCCAGTTAAGGGAATAAATTCAAGTAAAATTATTTATTTTTTCATTAAAACTTAAATTCTTTTTCCTTGTAAATGTGATTTCATTTTCTAGAGTTTTTCTTGAGTCTTGTTATAACAAGATAGGTGTCTGTCCAGTGCCTAAAACCTTACATGGTTATAAAAGATGGCATGAGGAGTGTCTTTGAAGAGATATTACTGCTGCATATTTAAAAAAAAAAACCACAAAAACCACGGGAAGGAGAGATGCAATTCCTCTTAATTTGTCATAGCTTGTATCGATAATTCTTTGTTGCTCTTAAAAGTAAAGACAACCTATATGACTATGAGACCAGAACTAGATGGTGCTCAGCTACCACTGTCAACCACTCAGAGGGGGATCTAAGTAGGAGATCCTGGATAGAGTAGGAGAACAATGTGGGGAAAAAAAACTCTGTATCATTTGCGGAAAAAAAAAGGACTAGGTTTGCTGGTATGATAGAACCACTGAGACAATGGCCCCTAGCTGCCCTTCAGGTCTAGAATCAAACCCACTCTTGTGGCTTCCAGCCAAACAAGAGACAGGCACATGAGGTGAACATTTACACTAGGTAGAAACACTCCTTGGAGAGAACAATCATGGAAGAATAGAAGGGCTGTGTATGCACAAGGAGACAGCTCAGAGGGCAGGAGTGCATGGAAAGAAGGACACAGGGAAGAGGTATATGGGGAGGATGTGGGAGGGAAGCTGTTGCATTGTGGTGAATTGCAGTCAAACTCATGAGACAAAGTATATGTGAACTGCTGTATGGAAAGTGAATTTGCTCTGTAAACTTCCACCCAAATCACGATTAAAAAAAAAAAAAAAGTGAAAACAAAAACTAACCAAACAAAACCTGAAATCCACTATGACCTAATAATAGTCTGAACTCTAAGCGAAATACTTAGCAGAAAGCTCTGGCATATTATGTCAGCCAATTAAAAAGTATTCATGGATGCCTACAAGGTACACAGTGTAAATGTTAAATTTAACACAAGGTCAGTGCCTTAAAGAAATTTAAAATCTTTTGTGATTATTAAATCCAACACGTATTTAACCAAATGAACTGGTAGTTATTATAGACCACAATGTGAGGAGGAAAAAAGTAGACATCAATACCCAAATACAAACTGTATTATTAATGATACTACCAATTATATAGGCGCTCTGGTGGCGTAGTGCATAAGGCACTTGACTGCTAACCAGAAGGCTGGAGGTTCAAACCCACCAGCCACTCCTCAGAAGGAACATTGGGCAATCTACTTCCCTAGCTATATTGCCTTGGAAACCCAAGGAGGGGGTCATTATGAGTCGGATCTGACTCCTCCTTAGTAATTTACTAAATATTTTCTCTTAAATTAAGGAGCTCTGGTGGTGTAGTGCCTAAACAGCTACTCTGCAGAAGGAAGACTGGGCAATCTACTTCCGTGAAGTTTTACCACCTTGGAAATCCAAAGGAGGTTGCTATGAGTTGGACCCTTCTCATTCTAACTGATGCCTCAATTTATCATGTTTTTTAATTTGGCCTCCACCGTTCCACTAAAACTGGATTGCCAGATCCTGTAACTTCGTTTTACCTTACCTAGTTCCTAAAATGATGTTACTAACTATCCACCTTTTAAAATTCTTCCTTCTCCTGTGTGTGATATTACAATCTTTCCTCTCATGCTTTGCTCATACCCCTTTTACTGCCCCTTCTCAGAATCTTTTTGATTGTTCCATTCCCCATGAACTCTTCTGTTTAAACTCTAATTCTGTGCCTCTTCAATCTCTTCTATTCAAAAGACTTCAAAATTACCCAATCCATGCCAAGACTCCCATAATCTACTGAAGTAGCTCAGACTTCTTTAATGACTTCTGCTCACCTACAGGACGACACCTAAATAGTCTGTTTCTTCACAATTTAGTCTAACGGCCTACCATCACTATATCTCATCTTTCTCCGTTTAAAACCTTCTATGGTTCTCCACTACACTCAAAATAAATTCAACCCAATATCCTCATTTTCAGGAAATTCACCCTGAAGTATTTAGAAGTAATTAAAAAAAAAAAAAAGGTAAACATAAAATAAATCCAACTTCCTAATAATAGCTTCAAATATCACTCACAATCTAGTATCTGTTTACTTCCTTTCTTACCAACTTCCTTCAAAATAAAGTACATGAAAAGTACAACCAAAAGCAAATACAAAGAAGCATTTTGTATTCTAACTCCAGACACATTAAAGCTGCTAGTGATTTCCTGAATAAGCTATACTCTATTTTTAGCATCTTTGCACATGCCAATGTTGAATGGACCAACTCCAGGCTTTCACCTTTGAGATCAAATCCACTGCCACTGAGTTGTATTAGACTCATAGCGACCCCTCCTTGGATTTTCGAGGCAGTATCACTACAGAAGTAGATTGCCCAACCTTCCTTCCAAGAAGTGGCTGGTGGGTTTGAACCGCCAGGCTTCTGGTTAGCAGTGAAATGCCTTAGGCACTATGCTAGATCAAGTTATCTGAAAAGCAGCTTTCAAAAATGTCAAATATATTTAGTGCCCATCCTTTGTAACAACCACTCATCTTCAGTTTGTCATACTGCGGTGGTTTGCGTGTTGCTGTAAGGCTGGAGTCTATGCCACCGGTATTTCAAATACCAGCAGGGTCACCCATGGTGCACAGGCTTCAGCAGAGCTTCCAGACTAAGGCAGACCTGGAAGAAGAGGAGGCCATCCACTTCTCAAAGAATTGGCCAGGGAAAACCTTACGAATAGCAGTGAAGCACTGTCTGATATAGTACTGGAAAACTTTCTGAATACCCTGAAACATTGTCATATATAGTGTGGGAAGATGAACCTGAGGAAGATACTCAAAACACAACTGAGGTAGAGCTGCCTCCTCAGAGTAGAACCTAAATCCAAACTCACTGCTATCAAGTCAGATCCGAATCACAGCGACCCCTCCTTGGGTTTCCGAGGCAGTATCACTACGGAAGTAGATTGCCCAACCTTCCTTCTGAGGAGTCGTTGGTGGGTTTGAACCACCTGCCTTCTGGTTAGCAGTCAAATGTCTCAGGCACTACACCACCAGAGCTGCTCCTCAGAATAGACCCAACCCTAATGATGTGAAGGGAGTAAAGCTTTCAGGACCTCCACCAGCTGATAGGTCACAACTCAAAATGGGAAGAAACAGCTGCAAATATCCTCCATTAATGATTGGAACATGGATGTATAAAGCATGACTCTAGGAAATTGGAAGTTGTCAAAAATGAAATGGAATGCATAAAGATTGATATCCCAGGCATTAGTGAGGTGAAATGGGCTGGTTTTGGCCATTTTTAATCAGACAACCGTATGACCTACTATCCAGGAAAATGACAAACTTAAAGGAATGGTGTGGCATTCATCATCACAAAGAAAGTTTCAAGATCTATCCTGAAGTACAATAACGTCAGTAATAGAATAATATCCATATGCCTACAAGGAAGACCAGTTACTACTACTATTATTCAAATTTATGCACCAACCACTAAAGCCAAGTCAAGGAAACTGAAGATTTTTATCAACTTCTGCAGTCTGAAAATGATGAAACATGAAATCAAGATGTATTGCTTATTACTGGCGATTGGAATGCAAAAGTTGGAAACAAAGAAGAATCACTAGTATTTCGAAAATATGGCTTTGGTGACAGAAATGATGCTGGAGATCGCATAACAGAATTTTGCAAGACTAACGACTTAGTCATTGCAAATATCTTTTTTCAACAACATAAACAGCAGCTTTACAAGTGGACTTCACCAGATGGAGTACACAAGAATCAAGGTGACTACATCTGTGGCTAGAGGCGATGAGAAGCTCAATCATCAGCCAAAACAAGGACAGGACCTGATTGTGGAACAGACCATCAACTGCTCATATGCAAGTTCAAGTTGAAGCTGAAGACAACTGGAAGAAGTCCACAAGAGCCAAACTATGACCTTGATTATATCCCTCCTGAATTTAGAGACCATCTGAAGAGCAGATTTAATGCACTGAACACCAACAATTGAAAACCAGAGGACTTGAGGGATGACATCAAGAACATCATCCATGAAGATAGCAAAAGGTCATTAAAAAGACAGAAAAGGAAGAAAAAAACAAAATGGATGTCAGAAGAGATTCTGAAACTTGCTCTCGAATGGAGAATGGCTAAAGCAAATGGAAGAAATCACAAGATAAAAGAGCTGAACAGAAGATTTCAAAGAAAAGCTCAAGAAGACAAAGTAGTCTATTATAATAAAATATGCAAAGACCTGGAGTTGGAAAATCAAAAGGGAAGAACAAGCTCAGCCCTTCTCAAGTTGAAAGAACTGAAGAAAAAATTCAACCCTCGAAAGATTCTATGGGCAAAATACTGAATGATGCAGGAAACATCAAAAAAGATGGAAGGAATACACAGAGTCACTGTACCAAAAAGAACTGGTCGATATTTATCCACTTCATGAAGTGGCATATGATCAAGAACCAATGATATTGAAGGAAGAAGTCAAAGCTGCATTGAAGGAATTGGTGAAAAACATGACTTCAGGAATTGACTAGAATGCCTACTGGGATATTTCAACAAATGGATGCCCCGCTGGAGCCACTCACTTGTCTATGCCAAGAAATCTGAAAGACAACTACCTGGCCAACTGACTGGAAAGGATCCTTATTTGTCCCCATTCCAAAGAAAGGTGATCCCACAGAATGTGGAAATTATCGAACAATATCATACGCAAGTAAAATCCTGCTGAAGATAATTCAAAAACTGTTGCAGCAGTATATTGACAGAGAACTTCCAGAAATGCAAGCTACATTCAGAACAGGAGTGGAACGAGGGATATCATTACTAACGTCAGATGGATCTTGGCTGAAAGCAAAGAATACCACAAAGATGTTTACTTGGAAAGCAAAGAGTACCAGAAAGATGTTTACTTGTGTTTTACTGACTATGCAAAAGCCTTTGACTGTACAGCTCATAACAAATTATGGATAACACTGAGAAAAACGGGAATTCCAGAACACTTAATTGTGCTCACAAGGAACTGTGCATAGACCAGGAGGCTGTCATTTGAACAGAACAAGGGGAAACTGCAGTTTAAAATCAAGAAAGGAATGCATCAGGATTGTATCCTTTCACCATACATATTCAATCTGTATGCTAAGCAAATGATCTGAGAAGGTGGATTATATGAAGAATGTGGCATCAGGATTGGAGGAAGACTCACTAACAACATGCGATATACAGTTGACACAATCTTGCTTGCTGAAAGTGAAGATGACTTGAAGCCCTTACTGATGAAGATTAAAGACTACAGTCTACAGCATAGCTTACATGCCAATATAAAGAAAACGAAAGTTCTCATGACTGCACCAATAAGCAGTATCATGATAAATGGAGAAAAGATTGAAGTTGTCAAAGATTTCATATTACTTGGTTCCACAATCAACATCAATGGAAGCAACAATCAAGAAATCAGATGATGTATTACACTTGGCAAATCTTTTTCAAGTGCTGAAGAGCAATGATGTCTCTTTGAAGACTATGGTGCACTTAACCCAAAGTGAAAAAAAACAAACCCACTGCTGTCAAGTTGATTCAACTCATACCAACCCCTCCTTGGGTTTCTAAGGCAGGATCGCTATGGAAGTAGATTGCCCCATCTTCCTTCCTAGGAGTGCCTGGTGGGTTTGAACCGTCAGCCTTCTGGTTAGTAGTCAAATGCCTTAGACACTATGCCACCAGAGCTACCTAACCCAAGCCATGGTATTTTTAATCACTTCATATGCATGTGAAAGTTGGACAATGAATAAGGAAGACCGAAGAAGTTGATGCTTTTGAGTTGTGGTGTTGCCAAAAAATACTGAAGGTATCATGGACTGCCAGAAGAACTAACAAATTTGTCCTGGAAGAAGTGCAGCCAGAATGCTTCTTGGAAGTAAGAATGGCCAGACTTTGTCTGACCTACTTTGGTCCTGTTGTCAGAAGGCACCATTCCCTGGAGAAGGATATCATGCTTGGTAAAGAGGAGGGTCAACGAAACAGTGGAAGTTCCTCAACAAGATGGACTGGCACAGTGGCTGCAGTGATGGGCTCAGGTATGGCAAGGACTGAGACTGGCACAGGACCAGGCAGTGTTTTGTTCTGTTGTACACAGGGTTGCTTGCACTGGAGCTAACTCAACAGCATCTAACAACATCCTTTGTAAACACCTTGTATCCTGCACTTCCTCTATTTTAACATGTCACACAGCTTGCTTAATTACCTATATCTGCCACAAAGAAGCTTTCTGAGGGGAGGACTGTCATATTAACTAGTATACATGCAGTGCCCAGCCTAGGCCCTGGAATATGGCAGGTGATTTATAAATAGATACTGAATAACAATCTACTTAAGAGTCCTCTAAATTCAACTTTGCCTTTATGCCCATCTTAGGATTGTTCTAATAAGGAAGTATATTTTTTCTATCCTGTAGTTCTTCTGGAAATGCTATCTTCTTTACAAAGCTTTTTTTTTTTTTTTTTGCAGTGCCACATTTAATGATCTGAGAACATAATTTGAAAACTGAATACATCAAAAACCTAGGTTGCCAGCATCCTTCAGTAAGCAAAGCAACATGAAGCAACTACAGTGCCTGAAGGGAGGATAATAAGGAATGAAATAGAATAAAATAGAAAACTGTGGAAATTTAATAAACAATATTAACAATAGTACTGCTTTGTGGGAAAAGAATGACAATACTGGATTTTAAATACAGTATCAAATTGATCTCACAAACATATACAGAAGGTCAATGCAGTAATGGTGCCTTTAATCTTAAATGTGCCAGACACTTTTAAAAGTACTTAATATATTATACCATTTAATATTTACATATACCATTTTAGATGGATGCTTACAAAGCATTCTTAAGACCATCATCTATACTCTCACCATCCCCAAGTGCTATTAAATGACCCTCTATACACAGTCCTTTTACAGCGCATTTTGCTCAACTCTGTTAGCATATCATCATTCATCAGTTAGTTGATATTTACTAGATTTAGGCTGCAAAGTTCTCAATAGCTAAGGCATTTGACTGCTGAGCAGAAGGTTGGTGGTTCAAACCCACTGGCCACCCCGTGGAAGGAAGACTGGACAATCTACTTCTGTAAAGATTTACCACCTCGGAAACCCTAACGGGGTCACTATGGGTTGGAATGGACCGATGGCAGCAAGCTTGGTTTTTTTTTAAGACTATAATAAATTCCTAGCCACATTTCTAATACTGAGCACAAAGCTAGAATACAGTACATTGCAATAAAAATGTGACTCTATGTATTCTGAAGACCCAGAACCTTACACTAGAAGTAATTAATAAATAAGTAAATATTTTTTGAATGAATACAATCAAGTAATTAATCTTAGGTAATTACATGGTTATCTACTTCAGTAAGCTGAAATTTCCCTTTTTCCTAACAATCACAAGGAGTTTTACTACTCCCAAAACAAGTTTTAGCAAATTACAAAAACTTAAATTTTGGATATGCACTGTACCTCTATGTTAGTAAATAGCTTTAAAGTTTTCTGTGGTCTTGTAGGACTTATATATTATAATGTATTTATGCTTAACAGTGAATTTCTACTACTTCGATGGATACACTTTCAACTTCAGCACATATATGAAGCATATGTTTAAACTACTTTAAATATACCAACAACATTACAGTTCTGGATATTTTAAAACATCAATAAAAACAAAACCTGATATACTTACCTCCCACTTATCAATTATCTTGTTATCCAACATTTTGCATTCATGACAACAGTAAAAAATCTACTATCTGACTATTCTGCACATTAATGATGTCCATCTGGCAGCAAGGAACATTGAGGTCCCTGACTGGCAGATCCCATATGCACACAGAAAGGAAGTTACTACTGCACAGTACTTCACTGCCTGGGATGAAGGAGGGGGTGTGGTCTCCCCAAGTGGTTGTGGTGCCAGGTGGAGCAGAGGGTGGGCTGTAGTGAGACGGGCGGGGATGAGATGCTACCCGGTGGGTCCTGGGTGCCCACAGAGGGCTGAGGCTTGGGCAGCAGCATCCAGTGTCCTGAAGGTGGGCCATCCTTGGAGACTGAGAAGGAAGAGGGACTTTGGAGTCTGGCTCCAGCTCTAAGCCCTGAAGGGCAACTGGGTTAGGCTACGGTCAGAAGGAGCCCTCAAGCAGGGCACTTGGGTATCTAGGGTCCGCAAGGCCCCATGTCAGCTGCCTAGCATGGGTACAGACCCTTGTGTCCCTGATGCCCCCTCCTGAGCAGACACAAGTGGGGGTTGGCCTGGCTACCTGCCCCAGGATAGGGTCAGGTGCAGTTCAAGGCCTCAGAGGCGGCTCTGGATTGTCACTTCTCATGGGATCATGGGGGCAGATAGAGGACAGGACCAGCTAGTGAGAACCAGGGATACTTGGACAATGGGCTGGCGGGGGGACCCACCATGAAGCAGCCCTCCCCCTGCAGAAGCCCTCCCCCTGTAGCACCCAGGCCCTCCCACCTATGGACTGCTCCCAAGAAACTCACCAAGGATGTTTTGGTGTCACTGAAGGGATAAGCCAGGGCCGCCACCCATCCTGGAAATATAGTGAGGGCAGGAGAGGGAGAGGACCTTGGGAATAGGGAAGGGAGCAGTTTTTGGGCCACCATGACTCTGAAGACTGGATGGCCTTCCCCTGCAGGGCAGTAGTGGGTGCCAAGCTCTCCTGAGGTGATGTGGGGTAGGGGTAGGAGGCAGTGGCAGGGACCTCAGCAGGGGGCCTGTGGGATGATCACAGTTTAGTTGAGGGGGTGAGGTGATGTGGTTAGCCTCTACTTTTACATAACACTGATTTTCACACAATGCCTAACCAAGTGAGGAGTGGGTGTATATGCAGACTCCAATTTACCAGAATGATGAATTCTAAAAGTTGTTTGTATGTTTGTTTTTTAGAAACATATGCATTTTCTCAGTGTTAGAAATGTTGACCAGGTTCCCACAGGATCCTACAAAACTATTTAATGTATGATGTAGTTGCAGTACATTTAGTACAAAAAAATGCAGTACCATTTAGCATATAAAAAGAAGCAAAGAAAAACATCACCGCACCAAAATAATTCAGCAAAACAAGGTTAATGAAATTGAGTATTGTTTTATCCATCCCAAGTGCAAATACCTCTGGCAAAGAATACAGACTTAATTAAAGGACTGACAAGGAGCTATATGGAGACTACTGTGGAGTTTCTAAAACAAACTTATGAGAAACTTTGATTTTATAGGTTAACAGCTTGTTTGCCCCTTAATCTAATTTATCTCCAAACATTATGAGTCAAAGATTATGAGGTATGTCTTTGGGTCACAAATGTAATGATAAAAGGGAAGACAATAGGTTATCAAGAAAAAGAAAAGACCATGTTACTTGAAGTATCTGGGCACATGTTTGAAGGAAAAGGAATGTGTACATGTGCTATGAAAACTGCTGGGTTTCAATTAACAATGATGTAACAGTAATTAAAAAATTTAAGTCTGGTGTAAGGATAATGTGCTTTAGGATTAAAATGATGGGAGTTGGAAAGAAACAGTGGAGTAATAGTTTCTCCTCTCAAGTGACAAAATCAGTCTGGCACAATTTAGTTGCTATCAGGAAGGTGGGTATGAAGTATAAGAGACAGGTGAGTAAGGAGAAAAAAATAATTGGTGCTCAAGGATTTTTAAAATGTGATCGCTCCAAATCAGAAAAGCCTATATGTATTTTCAAATACAAACCTCAGTCCACACTTTGATACACTGTTTCATAGAACCATTAACTTCTGGGTGCCAGAGAAAATCCTAGAAGAGAAATATAAAGGAAAAAAAAAAGTCTAAGGCACTGTTATATCCACCATTAATACTGAATATTAACATCTCTCTCACAGAGTGCTTAAAAATAAAACACTACCGTATCTAAGACACACTCAACTCTCTTTGCACTTTGGCAACTCTCACAATAGTTCCTGCATTCACTTTTTTTTTTTTTAAATTATGATTTGGGTGAAGATTTACAGAGCAAATTCACTTTCCATACAGCAGTTCACATATACTTTGTCT